CCGCAAGTCCCTATGTCCAATTTACTGAATAAAACCCTAGGCCCAAAAGAGGCTAGTTGAATATCAAAAAAAAAAAACAAAACACCTTACTACTATCTTCATACTTGATATAAACTACTAAAAACTCTAACTTTACTATATTACTAAACTTACTTATTACAGAAATTAAAACCCTTAAAATACAAATCTATAAAGAAAAACAAGAAAATATTTTAAAAAAAATTTAAAACAAACTGGAAGAAAGAAATGTTAACTTTTACCAAAACCCCAAAATTTTCTTTTGAAATGTTTTAGAAAAACCAAATAACAGTATCAACTTAGACCATCTATTATCTAACAATACACTCACTACTCAACTATCTAAAATAAAACAAGCCTTACAATCCTACTTTCAAGATTACTTTACAAAACTACCATATACACTAATAGAAGAAAACTCAAAATTCTATAAACTCTACAAATCTCATCTAAAAAATGAACCTCTCTTTAACAACTTATTTTCAGAAATTACTTTAGAGGAATGGAACTAAGTCATACATGATTTTCCAAACCAAAAAGCTGCAGGCTCATCAGAAACAAATTATGAATATTTAAAATATCTAAACTCCAAAACCCAAAATATTATTCAACTATTTTTAACAAAATGTCTTTTATTACAACAAATACTAACAATATAAAAAACATCTAACATTTTTCTAATATTAAAAAAATATACATGAAACTTTACTTTAAATCAAGTTAGACTAATTTCCCTTATTGAACCTATCAAAAAATGTCTTACAAAACTTTTTACTACACATCTTAATCAAATTATTAATCAACATTATCTACTAAATAATCTTAATTTTACAGCAACCAAAAACAGTTCTATATATATTTCTATACAAATATTAATTAACACAATAGAACATTACAAAACTAACAACAAAGAAGCATAGATACTCTTCTAATATATGTCCAAAGCTTTTAATAAAATCAATATTAAATGCCTATTAGATGCTTGCAAACATATTGGCACTCTCCAATCTGAACTTAATTTTATCAAATATCTACATTAAAATAGGAAAGCCAGAGCAATTATAGCCTATACCCCTACTGACCCAATCACACTCTATTCAGGCATAGAACAAGAAGAAACCTACTCTTTATTATTTTGGAAAATCTATTATAATCCTATTTTTAGTTATATTAACTCAAAATACAGCTCAAAGCTTCTTAAAATATCATCACAATCCTCCTTAGAAACAATATTCACAACTAAACCAACTCATATAACAATACCACCTTTTGTCTTTATAGATGATACAGTCTGGCACTGTGAATCTAAAAATGATCTGCAAAAAATCTTAGATGACATATCTGAACTATATTAACTAAACAATATTCAAGTTAATCCATTCAAATCAGACCTTATTTACATCTTACCAAACAAAAAAATATTATTCAATAACACTTCAAATATAACACTTCTAAATTTTAACAATGAACCAATTTTACTTTGCAAACTTAATAAAATAATAAGATATCTAGAAATTTTTTTAGATAGCAAAGACTTAACTAAACCTACACTTGAAAAAATTTTTAGCAAAACTTCTTAGTTTATTCATACTATTCAATACAAAAAACTTCTTTCTATACAAATATTCTGACTGTTTAATATTATATTATCACTATCAATCGAATATCTACTTCAAATATATTCTCTTTTATAAAACAAACTCCAACAACTATCAAGTCTTTTAACAAAATGCACTAAACATATGTTACACCTATCTACTAATACAAATAACAACATACTTACCAATCTACAATTACTCAACATTCCAACACTTAACAAACTTATGCTTTAAATTAGCAGCAGTAATATAAAAAGATGCTTCAATACTAACACACTTCTAAACCAAATCTCTATATATCAGGTTAAGGATTGGCTTTTTAAAATATAGAAACCATCTCTAACCCAAGATACAATTCTAACTAACTATAGGAAATCTACCAACTATGCTATAATATCTTAACTTTATCATCTATACAAAAATAATATTACTATTAACAACACCTATCTAAATCAATTAACAACTCACAAACATACTAACCAACTGAACAACATTTATAATTTCATTGCAACTTCTAACAACTCAACAACTCTAAGCCTTAAAAACAATAGAATTCTTTTCTTAGAACAATTACTTACAGCTGATAATCACAACCTTCTTCTTTAAAAAAATATATATCTCAAAACTCTTAAACCTCTATGAGGTCCTATTCCAAAATGGTTTAAAATACTCTCAAACCAAATATTTGACCATCCTATTTTGCACATATGGCCTAATCTTCAACTTTAACCTACCAACTCTTTTTTAAATATATTAAATCTTATTACATTCTAATTTGTAATCTTGAAAAATATATGGTTACTCTATATTTCATTTTTAGATTGGCATATTGGCAAAATAACCAATACATCTAACTCTCAAGTACTGTTCCAAAAATACCAAATTACAAACTTAACAACTAACACAATCTATATCTCTCCTATACTAACAATGCTTCAAATAAATTACAAACAAACTATTAATCTTAAATGCAAAATATAAAAAAGAAAACAAAACTTTGAACTCAACATAAACAACTAAGAAATCAAAGCACTTTAAAACATTCATGCAGACCTATATAAACTAGCTTCTAAATCTTTACCATTACTTTTATTACCCTTCTCAGAAATTCTTCTAATACAAAACATAATATCTAATTTCACATACCAAAACCAACTTATAAACTTTTACAAAAAATTATTATCTCTTGGACCAAATAACATATATTTTTATACAGATGTTTCTATACTTAATTCACAAACATACAACATCTCTACTGGCATAGCCTGGATTCAGAAAAACACATATAAATTAAATTTAATGCCTTTATAAACCTTATATCAAACTCAACATGAGCAGAACTAGCAGTACTTATTCACTTATTTCTTATCTTACCTTTAACTATTCAATTCACATTCACTTAGACAGCTTATCTACTATACAAACTCTTACTACAATTCTTAAACCAAAACAAAACAACTAGAATATTATTCATATTCTAAACTATCTAACCAAACTTAAAAATATAAATTATATTATGCACAAAGTTAAATCATATTCAAATAACACTTTATATAATATTGCTAATGCTTTAGCTAAACAAGTTACAAAAAAAACAAAACTAAATATAACCTTGACCATTTTTATTTATCTACTTTCTTTACTTGAAAAGAAATACCAATTACATTCAAATTTTGTAAATTTTGCAAAAACCTCTTTTCTATTCAAACATTTAACAAACTTCTTCAACTTAAACTATTATAAAATCTTCCTACTATAAACATTCTACTATTTACTGAAATCATTAATTTACAAAATTCTAATTTGAAACTTTATTCAATTAGGAATAAAATCCTTTTTAATAATTTGCCAATAATGTCAAATTTAAATATTTGCTATCCTTTACTCTACTTAACTCCAAATTGTTTCTATTGTAATCAATATGAAAATACTGAACATTTACTTTAATATTCACTTCATACTTAGGGAGCTAATACTTATTATGTAAATATATTCCTTCCTCAGATCCAAGTATCTGAAACCCCCTATAAACCTCTTACATAATTACTAAATAATTGGTTTAATGGCCTTATGTAGCACAGTAGCTAATAGTTAACTGTTTTTTCACAAGAACATATTATAATAGTTCCATATGGCATAGCAATTAATACTTAACAGTTGTTATAACAGCCTATGTAGCATAGCAATTAATGGTTAACATTAATTTTTCTTGCAAGATTATAATATAACAGTCCTATGTGGCACAGTAACTAACAGGTAATAGTTAAGACATGTTATAATGGTTCTATATAGTGCAGTAACTAACAGTTTACGCAGTAATTAATAATTGTAACAGATTAAAATAAAATTAGATCAAAATAAAATATTGTACAATATAAAAAATAGACAAGCTGCTAAAAAATAAAAAATTTTGAGATGCATTTTTTAGGGTTAGGGGTTAGAGTTAGAGGTTAGTTTTAGGGTAGTATTTATAATAAACAAGTATAAGTGGGTTTTAGAAGTTAAATAGAAGCCCTCATTTCATTTTAATTCAGTTTCATTATAATTCATGACAATAATTAATAAGCATAAAAATTCTATATGATGCAATATTGATATCGAATTGGGTGTAACAGTAGTATAACCATATCTTGTAAAAGGCTTAGCAGATTTCTAAGTACAAAAGACATAAATTATTTTCTGATTTGACAATCAATAAGAGTATTCTTATTCGAGTTATATTTGATATAAAGACATTTAAACACACAAGCAATGTTATTTTAGCTACAAAAATTATTTAAAAGTCTTTTTAACTTAGCATGTTGTTTCCCAAATCCAATCTTGTTCATAAGTCAATTAGATGTCTATTCAGAAGGGATTCCATGAAAGATGCAATGAAAAATGTTGAAATGTATTATTTATTCTAGCATAAGAACATAAATTTATTGTATGCTAAATTTCTAACTTTTTTTGTTTAATAAATATATAGGGTCTTTGCCTTGAAAATCAAATATAGGACATATAATTTACTATGTCCCATAACTTGATTTTCAAAGCAAAGACCTCATATATCAAACTTCTTAACTTGTTACTAATTATAGTTCATTTTTCTTGCATAAGAATTTGTTAGAATTTAATTTCTAAGTACTGCTTAATATTTATTACAGTCAGATATATTGCCAAAAATGAAAATCAATTCTAGATCATTCTATTGAAATTTGATTAACTCTTTTTACTAAATTCAGTTACATTTTGTGGCTTTTCGCAATAGGTAATTATGACAAATAATTTTATAAATATAAAGTTGAATGTTTAAAGTTTTATAATTAACATTGATCCCATTAGGATCAATTCTTTATTTTAATGTGTATAAAGACTTAGAAAAAATTATAAGTTTTACTATTCTTTTCTGCTCAAAATTTACTATTTATTTTGCTGATTAGTGTATAACTTAGCTTCTGATTCATGTAACCAAAGCAAAAAGAATCAACTGATCTGCATTTCTATATTATAAAAAGGCCAATCTACATTTCCCATTTTTGAAATATGTCTAACTGTATTAAAAAATTTACATGCTAGATAGTTAATAATAGGGTAAGCAATTCTTGCAAATACAAAGTTAATAAAATCTGCTAATAAGATCTAATATTTGATAGTTTAGAATTTAACTATTTTTGTAAATTATAAAACATATATAGATCTTTAAGTCTTGGAATGTACGCAACTTTTTACTGAATTACAAAATCCAATCATCAAAAGCAAAAACTTTTTAATAGATGTATATGATTTTATTGAGATTTGAAACTTTTTTAATAAGAGATATTAGGAAGAATATAAGAGTAAGATATCATGAGCTTGTTAAAGTTTTGCTAATACAATTCTTTGTTTTTTTTTTTTATTAAAATTAATCTTTATATATAATTTTTAGAATATTTTTAAAAAAAATTTATTTAATCTAAAGCTATTTAAAAAAAAATATTTTTTAGATAAATATTATTAAAAATGGTATAATAATCTGTATTTTAAAACAAAGAAAAAATAAATTTACAAAAATTTTTATTTAGTTTTTTATTTTTTTGTAGCTTCAATGTTGGTTGTATTTTTTTTTGGTCTTTCATGTTTAACTAAATGTAGGTGTTGGTTTTTTTTATAGGTAACAACCATTGAGGCTGTTGGAAAATACTTTTTACATACAGGACAAGAGTTTTTTATATAATTGTCTTTAGAGATAGAGAGACAATGTTTGTCATACCTCTGAATTTTCTCTTTGTTATAATACTCCAATAGATGAATCAGATTAATATAATAGCTGTCTTTTCCTATTACAAGAGGCAGAAGAAAGCCATTATTGGTGGCAAGAAGATCACCAGCCTTATTACACTGTTTAGACAAGCAACATGTAAAGTTATCACACTTTTTAACATCTAAAAAGTATTTACAAATTTTTACATATATTTCTATTCATTCCTAAGATACATTAAAATTATCAATGCTATTATCTGATCCTGAAAACTTAACATTCAAAAATGGAATATTTTTCATGTCAACATACTCAATTATAACTTGCTTTCCAAATATAGGGTCCTATTTTTATAAATCACAAAGAAAACATTCATATATTTAAAATTTTTTTTTACAAGCTTTGAATCAATGACTTTACCCTGTGAATTAAAATAAGAACCATAATTATTAACAGATAAAACTATACTTGCAAGCTTGCTTGAAAGTAACACCATACTCCTTTTAACAGGACTGTACACTAATTGACCTGGAGTAATTAATAGGACAAATAATATTTAGTTAGCTAGTTGATTAATATTTATTACTTGTAAAATTTTTTAAGTAATTAATACTATAATTTCAATTATTATTTTATACTAATTCAAATTAACAATTCAACTTGATGGATAGCATTGATTTATGCTATTCAAAAATTTGAATTTTTTTAATTTTGACTAGTATTTTGACAGAAATTATAATTTTAATTAGTTAAATTTTATTTGGTTAAAGTATTTAACCAACTAACTAGTTTACTAAATAATTTGACAATTTTAAATTACTAACCTGAAGCATAGGTTCTAATAGTCAAGTAGTCTAAATTGAAGAAATGAAACATTCTACAATATTGGTAAATATTTTTTAGATGACAGGGGTTCTTATCTGGGCTTCTATCTACAATAAGGACTCAGATAGATCTAATTTCATTATCAATCTTTAGCCTATTGTCAAAATGGCTATTATTTACTAATGAATATAGATCACTTATATGCATTATGGTACTTGTTCCTGTTTTATATTGTAAACAAATATATATTAACAGTTGGCTACTTCTAAAAATGTCATTTGTGTCATTTGGATCAATCATAAGATATACAGATGGGATAAGTTTCTGTTATGAGCCAACAAGGAAATCATAATCCAGAAGATTTGTTGGCTTATTAGCACTTTGTATAGCTTTAAAAGTTTTGCCAATTGCAAAAATGCCAAGTGAAACTTTGGCTTTGTTGTTCTGAGACACAATTATCGAAACAGTTAGAAACAGAGCCACAAATTGTCTTGCCACCTTGATGGAGGCAATGCAATAATAACTATCTTGATGTTTTTTCATTTTATTTCTTGAGATAAATACAATCTAAACTAGTAATTATTAATAAAATTAAAGAGAATATAGGTATATTTTAAAAAAAAGAATTCTTTAAAAATTATTTTTAACTTATTATACTAAATTAATTTCTAATCTTATATATGAATAATGCCAAGAAAAAATCAGACTTCAATCATAAAATTTAATATAATCAAAGCCTGATGTTATCTATATAATTATATATGTATTTTTTAGACTATATAAGGACAGAATATAAATATTCATAAGCATATACAATTCAAAAAAGATTTTAAATATCAAAATGTACTAACTTGAACATTGATCGGATTGTGATGCTTTTTTGCTGCAATTGAATTTTGATGACATGACAACAAGTAATTGTATACAATAGTATAAAAAAGATGTTCATTATAATTTTGTTCTAATTCTTCATGTAGATGGTTAATAGTTCTAACTTTTATTGTTTCTTTTCTTCTTTTGTTATCAGCAGCCCTGAATTCTATACTTTTATGAATTTGTTTAAGCAAGTCTGGATGCTTAAACAATAAAGAAAGATGCCTGAGTAAATCATATTTTAATACTTGTTGATTTTCTTGTAAGTCTTTTTTTTTTATGATATTTCTGTTAATATTCAGCCTTTTTTTTAAGGGTTTGAAGTTTTTCACTCTTAGTATAAAGAGTTTGCTTAAGGTCATATATGCATTTTATTAATTTAAATTTGGCCTCCTGTTCAGTTGTCTTGTTATAGATTTTTTGACATTTTTCAATTTTATAATTTATTTTAGTAATAGCTTCTGTTACTTTATGCTATGCTATAGTATTTAGTGATGGTGTATCTGGAGCAGCAATTTCCTCAATTATTTTATTTTGAATTAAAGAAGTAACAAAATTCCTAGTAGAAATTAGGTCTAGAATAGTAGAAATAGTATTGTTAAATAAGCTTACTATGAAATTTTGAATCTCATGCTTGGGCATTAATTTAATTGTTTTCTACACTTTATTGGATTTATTATATACAACACTCTTTAGGTATTTAGAATTCTTCATGATGACCATAAGGCTGTATGCAAGTGCATTGCAAAACTCCTTATATTGGGTATTTTGAACTTTGTAAATGTATAATTTATTATATTCCAACATAGTCAGAGCTTGCATATCAAAAAAATAAAGAGAAGAGCAAAGAGAAAGAAAAAAAAAAGAAAAACAAAAGAAGAAAAAATCAAGTAATAAATAAAGAGAAAAATGAGAAAAAAAATTAAAAAAAGAAAAGCAACCAAAAGAAAAAAGAAAAAAAAAAGAAGTTAAATGCTATTAATTATCGAAAAAAGAAGAAAAACAGAAGTCAAAAATTAGAGAAAAAGTAATTGGATTAATTAATGTCTTGAGTAAATTTTTGTAGATATTTTAATAACAGTTTGTTATAGTAGAATTCAGTCATATTTATAGTATATAAAGCAATATACTAACAATTGTCTACACTTGTTAATTATTTGCAATAAAAGTTTGTGCAATTGTGAAGCAATTTTATTTATTCAACTTTAGGAGATGGTTATAACAATATTCACTTGTGGCTGTAGATTTTACATTTTTTATGCAATGTATTTTACTATTTTTTAATACAATTTTAATTTTACATTGTTACAGACGAAAGTTACTTAAATATGCATAAAGAAACCTACTTTAAAAAAATATTTTTAATAATAAATTATTTTTTTTTTAACAATTTAATGAATGAGGATATTACAAAAGAATTTATATTAAATATTACTGTCTTTTATTTAATATAATAGATAGAAGATGCTGTTGATTTTATATTTAATATATTTGAAGAAAATTTGTTTCAAGTTACTCCTTTATTAATTTTCTTAATAGTTTAACAGATAGGGTAAGCAGCTAATTTTACATTTAACATATCTGGAGAAAATTTAAATATTTTAATCTTTTATTATATTTTTATACAATTCAATTAATTTTTTTTAAATTAAAATAGTTTAATAGATGGTGAAATACTGCTGATTTTAATTAGACATGCTCTGTGAATATATATATAATTTTATTATTGATGTTTTTTAGATCCCTTAATAATTTAATGGACAGATTACTGACAATTTTACATTTGATCTGTCTGAAAAAAATTTATTTGAAGTATCATACAGTTTAATGCTTAAGTTCTTAATTAAAATTATTTAATAAACAGGAGAATATTGCAAAAAAAGATTTAATTTCTTAAAACAATTAAATAGCAAGAAACACTGCATGTTTTAAATTCAATACATTTGAGGAAACTATAAAGCTTTAACCCAAAAAGAAAGTAACCACTAAGTTCCTCTATCCTGCACAAGTATATTTATTTACTTTTTAAAATAGTTTAACAGACAGTAGGCATCATATATTTATATTGAATGCATTTGAAGAACAATAAAATACTGCCAAACTTTCACCCTAAAAGAAATAAGTTTTACTATTCTGCACTAACTTTGTGTTTGCTTTGATTTATATACATGACTTTTTTTTGATGAACTATTTTCTATATTGCTTTATTTTTCTATATATAATTATACTAAGAACCAGAAACTAGTATAATTCTGAAGCTCAATTTAACATTAATGTTTTTAGCTCTGAAAAGTCTTGTTATGTATGTTAGAGGCGTTATATCCAGAAAATACCAAAACTGCATTTTTGATATTTCTATTATAAATAGATCAAAAATGTTATTTAGAGCATAGAAGTATGAGTCTGTTGCTTCACTCTAGACAATTATGAATAAGCTATTGGAAATAATTTTGTCTTTATCTAGCCAAGTATTATTTTATAATACAAATATATTGCTATAGCTAACTCACTTTTTTAAACTTTCCCAATTTGATGTATAACAGTTTTAGTCCTGTAATATTGATATTTTAAACCAATTTATGTTGAATTTACTTTCTCTAATCCAACAATTTTCTTATTTTTAATGATGTTTTCTATTCATTAACAATCTCTATTTGGTATAAGGTTTTTGTTCTTTATATGAATTCTGGTCACATGTTATAAGGTCATAACTATATTATAGGATTTATTAATTTCACTTTTAGGTTTAGACATTTTAAAAAATTCAAATTTTTTTTTAAAAAAAATAATAACCAGACTTTCTATTGTCACAATCGCATTTAGTAAACTTTATTAAATACTGTATTTATCATTACACTATACCTCATTTGAATTTTATTTGATTTGCATTATCTGTTGGTAAGTACAAAACTAAAGATAAGAATTGATTCTATAATAATTATTTTAATCATTAATCAAATTAGAATCGATTCTTATTTCTAGATAAACAATTTACTTGTTTCTACAAATGATTAAATTTTCAAAAATCTATTCTGAATTTAGAATCAATTTTAAATATAATCAATTTATATTATCTATTTAGAAGTTTAAAATTTTATAAATATATTTTCTGTTTTCAGATATGTACTTTTTTTTTTTTTTAATATTAATGGTGAGGCCATGCCTTTAACTTTATTGAAATTCAATTAAAGTTTTTACAAAGAAAA